CAACCGATCTTCAACCAGTCATAATCAACATTCAGATTATCAACGCTTGGTTCTTCTTTCTGATATGGAAAACAATTTGAAGAAATAAAAATAATAACTATGTTTGCTCTGACGAAGAAACAATGAATGCAATGTATCTGAAATAATGGCTGCCATCTTGGTTTTAACTAATTTTGTGGAGCAACATGTCTCCAATGAAAATTAAAACCATTAAATTAAACTCAGTTAAATTACATTAAATTTAATTAGAATTGTAGTTTAATTAAACTTGCATAAAATGCATTCCCATATAATATAATTAGTCTAATTAAACTAGTTAAAAATAACTAAATTCAATTTAATTGCAAGTTAAATTTAATTTAATAAGTCTTGGCATTAGGATTTGTTTAAGAATTGGAAGATATACTGTATACCTAAACTCTGAACCTAGACTGCCCCAACCATGGCAATTTTATATTTTTTGTTCTTAAATCGTTGTCCAATGTGAAATTACCACGACTGGTCAATTCTGCGGCATAATCATTGCAATTACTTATTCATGATATGCAATGATGTTATGGAATCAAGGAGGAGAACACTTCCAAAGGAGGAAAGTATGTGTGTGTTTGCGCAAAAATTCTAGTAGAACAGATTGAACCAAAAGCCTTTCTATTTGGTTTGCACTCATTAGAATTAGAGGGCACTGCAGAACTGACGTACCAGTTGTGGTAATTTTGCGTCAACGTGAAAGGTTCTACAAACTTGTTTTAAAAGAATTGACTTTAATATTAATTTTCCTGTGATGCAATTCTGGTTCCATGATTTACAGACAACTATTTTTTGTATAGCAGATTCAGCACAAGCACTTGCAAACTTTAATCAATGAAGTGTTTCCTGAAATCAACAAGCAAAACATTTCTTATGATGAGTTCAAGTAGAGTAGCCAACAAATAATTAATATGAATGATGTTATGAATAAATCTGTCTTTATTAGATTCCAAATTTCCTGACAAGTTTCAACTCTACATACCCGTGATTCATAAGACACCAGAATAAAAATATTGTTATTCTCAATTTCTGCCTATCAACAAACATGTGCTTACTAGTTAAGTCAAATTTGATTTTATATTTTGATAAAAATATTGATTTGAAATGCGCTGACAAATTAAACAAAGACACAAAAGAATACAGGAAAAGGCAACTGTGAAAAACATCAAAAGTTAGAATGATGTTTGTGCAACGTTTCATCATCTTCTATTATGTGAGAGTTGTGAACACGTGCGACAAGTCCCCAACCTGTTTTTTTTTTCATACTGTATGTTCACAACAAACTATCTTCAGTACTACTGTTTACTAACAAATTC